CTTAGAGACTAACAAATTTATTAGAGCATAAAATTTGTTAGTCTCTAAGGTGCCACAAGTCCTCCTGTTCTTCTTTTTGCGGATACAGACTAACACGGCTGCTACTCTGAAACTTTACTGTGTGGTTAATCTTTTGAATTTTGCATTTAATAAAATACAGTGAAAATATACCTTCAGCAAGGACTGTCCCCAATAAGCTGTTCCTGACTTAAGTGACCACTTTAAATTATCTCTATGGTTTTCAGCATTTTTCCCCTCATTTAGTTAAAGACTCACCTCTGTTAGGCAACTGATCTTTGCTGGAGGTCTCATTGATCTTTGCTGGTGGTCTCAAGTATCCTTCTCCAGCTTGTGAAGGGAGAGAATAGAAACCAACCCAGTAAAGAAGTGCCTGTTTTAAGATATGACTGTGATTAGGATGGGAGGGAAGAAGGGAGGGATAAGTAGAGAGACAGAATTTGTCCTTAATATCTAGTCTAGGATCTTGCAGCTGAATTAAAACAATCATCTTGTTAATAATGAAACCCTCTTTTTCTTAGTTTGTGTTTATAAACTTAAGACAATTCTTCCATTAAAAGCACAATTCTTTAATTGATTAATCTGTCTTGATTAAAAAAAACCCTCTCTTTTAAATCTGGAGTTGTTTACTCTAGCAATGCCACTAACTATAACAGCCACAGTACCACGAGGGGAGAAATTTCATGATGAAAATGGGGAAGTGAGCTGACAGGTCTAAAATAATCATTTGTTCTTTACCCATCGCTAGGAGATCATAAACTAACATAACGAGTGCAATTTCTGTATTATTCTGAGGCCTGGAACAAGACTGACTATGGTAAATGAAGTCTCATGGCTCCGCTACTGCCAGAATTACCTGGTCTCCTCCTACTGAATCACCTTTTCCTAAAAAGGAAATTGATAAATGGTGAGTTTGTTGATTTGATAAGATGGAATTTGAGCTGAGGTCTAGCAAGTGATTCCTGAGCAGATGCTAGTGACCAGCCCATCCAAAGGGCAGCATTGATAATCTTCACCTTGATTCACCACCTGGATGCCTTCACTAGCCAGAAAATGCATAGATCTAACTCATAGACCATAGGCATTTTTGGTCTTACATAAGATGGCTACACAGCTGCTCAGATACTGCAATGATGAATGTGTTATACTGAGTCAGCTCCTGTGCACCTGTATGTGGCTCTGTGCCATCTGCATTTACATACAGTTTATCTTGGTTAAATGAGAATTCATTTCCTTATGTGATGTAATGTGATATTTAGTGCTCTGTTGCTATTATGTGTCATGGCACTTCATTCTCGCACACACACCCATGCACACTGCCTGGGGTCAGAACAACTTTGATGCATGGCTTCTAATAGTGTCAATATTCCATTATGTGGTTTTTATTCATTCACTTCTTTTTGGCAGCAGTAACACAACAACAAATCGATGTCTTCCTATTCCTCATTGTTATGACCTTTTAAAAAGGAGGGTAGTGGAGGAAGTTTGAATATGGAATAGGGGTATATGTGTCAGTGTGTGTGGGTGTGCGCATGTGCACATATGTGCTACCTACTGTAAATTCCCTAGTCAGCATCAATGGTATATATTTGTGCAAATCAGTTATACTTTGCATAAGTCGGTCACAGAGTGGGGGAACCATTTTTGACTCTTGTCAGTGCTGTAGTCATTTTCTGTACATCATGACATCCTACATCACAGAAGTTAGAGATAGTAGAGACCTGTGAGATCATCCAGTCTATCACCCGACCAATGCAGGATTGTTTCCTTCAGTATATTGACTAGTATTTTGTCTGGCCTAGTTTTCAAAACCCATGCAATCTGAACCTCAAAATCATCATGTGGCACCATAGAGCAACTCTCTTTCCCCACTTTTATCTACTTCTGAAGTCATCTGCCCTCACCCCTAAACCTGCCCCTAGTTTTTTAGTTTAGCCCTGGAGGCTGCTCAGGTTTTTTTCCAGAGTGAAAGCAAAGGAGCCAAAGGCAGAGCCGTTCTTGTAAATTTAATTAATAAAATATTTATGCCTGACAGAGGTTCACAGGAACATCTGTTGTTTGATTTTGAGAGATGCCAGGTTTGCAGAATGAATGGCATCCTGGCCAGATTTCAGCTTGGGTAATTACATTCTTCCTACTTGAAATTGTTCCTGTCGGTTCAACTGGATGCAGTATTTTTTTCCCACTTCCTTTGCCTAATTATTGTATATTGTTGCTGTATGCTCTTAAATTGCCATATTTCACTCTCAAGGTTGCTACAATGTAGTTACGGAAGATGCTAGGGGCTTTTGCATCTCCAGAGAAATTCAGTCTGTGCCTGGAGCCCTAGCAGGTAAAATGTATGTTGTGGTCTCTGATGCTTTGGAGCTTTGATATTAAAAAAAAACCCACAGACATTTTTTTCTCAGGCTACTTATAGTAGGAGTGTGAAGGAATTTGAATCACTGACAGAACTAGTGAAAATGTTTTGCTGGAATTATGAAGAGCAAAACTTGAAATTTTTCATTAAAATTTCTACCATGTTGAAAAGGCTCGTAGATCTGGGTGTAAGCATGCGTGCATCTATAAGCAACCCTACACTGAGGACCTCAACTCTCCCCTATATTAGTACTTGTTCAAGCTCCTGATACACTGGTGGGCTAATTCTGTAGCATCCTTCCAGCCAGCAGTCTGCCTAGGAGAGAGTTGTAATGCACTGCAACGCTGAAAGAATGCTTTCTTCAATAATAGTTGTGAGGTGATAGAATCTAAGAAAATCCTTGCACACAGAAGGCCTGATTTCCACTGCCTAGAACCTTATATAGTCATTTACATCTGTATAAAGTGGATGTTACCACATTCCGATTTAGTAGCATTTTATTTCTCCTGTACATACAGGTAAATGAGTTCTAGGATTGCTAACTGTCTAATCGCACAAACCCAAGCACCCTTGCCCCGCCCCCTTCCTCGCCCCTTCCCCAAGGACACACTGCCCATTCTCCGAGGCCCTGTCCCCCACTCACTCCAGCCCCTCTCCCTCCGTCGCTTGCTCTCCCCCACCCTCACTCACTTTCACCGGGCTGGGGCAGGGGGGTTGGGTGTAGGAGGGGGTGCAGGCTTTGGGAGGGAGTTTCGGTGCGGGAGGGGGTGGGGCAGGGGGTTGGGATGTGGGAGGGGGTTCAGGGTACAAGCTCTGGCTGGGCAGTGCTTATCTTGGGTGGCTCCCGGAAGCGGCAGCATGTCTGGCAGAGGCTCCTAGGCTCAGGGGCAGCCAGGCAGCTCTCTGCGCTGCCCCTGCCTGCAGGCCCTGCCCCTGTAGCTCCCATTGACTGCAGTTCTCCTTCCCGGCTAATGGGAGCTGCGGAGTTGGCGCTCGGGGCGGGGGCACCGCATGGATATCTCCTGGCTGCGCCTCCACCTAGGAGCCACTGCCGGACATGCTGGCCTGTTCCAGGAGCGGCGCAGAGCCAGGGCAGGCAGGGAGCCTGGCTTAGCCCCACTGCGCCACTAGACTTTTAGCAGCCTAAAATCTCCCTGATTGACTTCAGTAGCCACCAGGAGATCGAGCCTGATTCCGGGAAACTCCCAGCCAAACTGGGAGGGTTGGCAACCCTAAACTGAGCGCACACATCCAAGATAGTGGAGAATCAGGCCTATTTTTACACCAGAATAACTCTTTTGAGGTCTGTGGTTTTACCTTTTCTGTTAACATTTATGTGGGGTTACAGATTAGCTCTGAAAAAAGGAGCCTTCATTTTAAGAGTTCTCTCCATAATATCCTATTTTAAGCCCTTTTAACATAGTAAGCATCAGTAAAGGGTACTTTCTGTTTCAGGGGCATATACAGCATATGAGAATATAAAACTCTAGACTTCAAGGTGTGAAAACTAATCACAAAACATTTCAATTTTCAGGCATTCAGTTTCTTGATGAAAAATTGAAATGGCAGAAAACTTCATGCAAAAAATTTTATTGAGATGAAAACCCATTTTTCCTTTTAAAAACTTTGTTTTGACTGAAACTTTTTGACCCGCCCTAGTGTTTAATTTCTATCAGCATGTCAGATGTTTCTGTTCTGTTACTTTTTCTCTGGAATGTACAAAATTAAAAAGGGGATTTATTTTTAAGCTGGATTTAAGATGATTCCTTCTACTGTTTTTTTTTTAAGATAGAATAAAACCGACAATTGTGAGGAAAATCTACTTAGATTCCCATTCTCAATCCAGAAATATCTGAATGAATATACAGTAGCTCTTAATCAGTCACTAAACTAGGTTTATTAACAGAGCAATAGACAAACTGTGGGAAAAGCAAACTTTTGAAAAGCCAAGTACCTGAGAATGGCTTGCAGTTAGCAAACAGAATGAAACTCCATTTCCTATTGATATGTCAAGTTAGTTACTTAAAATGAGCTACAAAGGACTTTATTTAAATTGGGTTCATGCCTTACTTTGCCTTTTTATGATATGTAAAGAGGACCTGGAAGTTTAGTTCTGTCTGTTTGTTAACTTAGAAATATCAGAAAAGTCAAGTCTGGTCTTCCCTGGCTGTGCTAAATGAGCTATCAGAGATGTGTAGTGTGAAGTCTCAAAGAGATGAGGGCTGGAGGGGTTAAGGCCCAGATCTTCAAACCAGGGTCAGTGCTCCTGGGGATGGGGCAAAAGGAACATTTACCCTCCCAAATTATTTTCAAGAAGTCCCAAATTCGTAGGTGCCAGAGACATTGGCAGGGGTTGGTGGGGTGCTGACTCTTGAACGTGGTCAGGAGGTGGCATGCCGCAGCCCAGCCGGCACCCTGATCCACTCTGTACCGTGCCACATGCACAGTGTGCTGGCCAGTCTGGCTATGCATGCTACATGCTGCTGGGTCTTCATCTGCCATTGGCTGCCAAAACTACAGCCGTGGCTCCTCTTGCCCCTTGTTGCCGGCCTGGTCCGGGAAGTAGGACCAGTATTGTCAACCTTAAATGTTCAAAAATCATGAGTCAGGCTCATCAAAAATCATGAGATTGGTTTTAAAATCACAAGATTATGTAAAAATAATAGATTTGGTTCCTACTGCTTTTTGAGACTTTAGGGTGCACTGGAGTCACATTTTGACACTTTCTCCACAGTCACAAGAGCTAGAAACTTACTTTTTCTTTAAGAATGGAGGCTGAAATCATCACATGATGCCCAGTGCTGGAGCTTTAAGGAAAACAATAATTATCATGAGACTCATGACAAATCATGAGAGTTGGCAACACTGTCAGCAGGGAGGATAAGATAAGGGGGGAGGGAGGCAGGGGCTCTGGGAGGGTTGGGTTGGTGGAGGGGGTGGAGGTGATGGCTCTTGGAGGGTCAGGCTGGTGTGGGTGGGAGGCAGGGACTCCAGGATCCTCGGGTTGG